CCTCGGACTCGCCCTTCGGGGCCAACCCGCCAACAGCTGGGTGCCCGCGGCCTTCCGTGGGGACTGTGCGTCCTCCGTCTGACTCCCGCTTCCTGAGCATCGAAAACACAACAGCCTGCAGGAAGCCGCCCAGCCTTTGCCAGGTCTCTCGGGGGCCCGGGAGAAGCGCGGTTTTGAGTCCGGGTCTGAGCCACAGCTCGTCACCTACCCGGGTGATTTCTGCAATTTCTGCGCTTGCTGGCCAAGGTCCCAAGTGGTAACGGGCACAGTTTCTTGCTGCGCTAGTCGCTCCCTCACCCCTCCTTTGGAGCCCCAGGCCGGGCCTGGGGACCTTGGGTGCGATTAGTAGCCAGGAGCCCAGAGATCCTGGGCTGTGCCGTGTGAATGCACCCGGCCGCCCGCGCGAGCGGGTGCGCAAGGCTCCTGCTCGCCAAAGTTGCTTGAATCACCCCCGCCCCCCGCCGCCGCCCGTAAATCTCTCGTGTTGAGAAAAGCAAGGCTTGCAGGAAGCCACTCCGGATGTTTGCTGCGTTTCATGTGGCATTTGTGGCTGGCTCCGATAACGTCCCAAGCTCCACTTCCAACACCGCATTTAGTAAAGAGACGGAAATGCAGGAGTCCACACGCTGGGACCAGTTTGCGGGGCTGCAGGCCCCCAACACCCTCCCCCTCCCTAAGTAGATGACAGATGAATGCTCATTAGAAGAAATTAGGTGTAGGTAACGGTATGTAACGGGGACTGATCTTGAGGAGCTATCACCATGCCTTCCTGGTAACTAGAAGTCGATTCCTGCTTTATGACAACCTGGGGAAATGCTGTAAGAAGTAGGGGAGGGGCGCTGAAGTCTGGAGTTCCAGCTGCAAGGATGCCGGGCTCCCACCTGGCTTCTCTATGACCTTCCCCAACAAAAATCAGCAGTGAGTCAGTCTTCGGGCACAAGTGCAAATCATAGTGGGGAACCCCGGGTTTTCTTCCCCATCGGTTTCTCCAGGCTCTTGGCGCTTCTCGGTGCTAAGCGGTGGGGGCCAGGCCCTGAGGCTGAAGGAAGCACATAGGGGCAAACGCGTGCATACAGTTTTTGGATTCACACTTAGATTGTGCTTTCTATTTTATTTTATTTTTTACGGAATTAGTCAAGTAGATTAAACAGATAAAATGGTTTCTGGAATGGGCATTGTTTTTTGTTAATGTTTAATCTTTATTCTAAGAAAATACCTATTAATTCACAAAAACCTTTGCACTATTAGAAAATTCTGCATCTTTGAAAAGACGTTTGTTACTACCTAGAAAAGTTAGAGAAGATCTCCAAGAAAATACCAAAGGAGCGAGGCACTAGGGGATTAATTTGTTCTCTCTCTAAATTTTCAGGGGGAAAAAAATTTAAGCATTAAAGGAAAGGACATAATCAGTTAAATTTGTTTCAGATCAACTGATCCAGCACCACCCATCACCTCCCTAAGATTTCCTTAAGCAGGTTAAATCTTTTTCTTGTCTGAACAGGAGAGATCCAGGAACTAGAACCACTTTCTCAGTTTGTCCCCGGAATGAAGACTGGTTGTTACAGGTCGGGGTTGGGGGTAGCCAGCACTGCACAGGTCCTCACACGGTTAAAGCTGGCTTAAAACAAGCGTGGAGGACTTTTTTGGAGACCTGGCCATGTCAGAGAAACTGAAGGCCAGCAGCTCCCAAAGCTCTGCGTTTCTTTATTTTTATGGATGTTGCTAATAAGCAGGCTTGACAGATCACTTTGTCGTTGTAATATCATACAAAAAGCTGCAGCATTGACTTCCCAGATCCCGGATGTAAGCCCTAGTTTTTCATCACCCCTTCACAGTAAAAAAAGAATATCTGTTCTCGAGATTGGATGCATTGATTTATTTACGTTATCTATTTATGTAAAGACGTCTGCCTTCGTTGCCTTAGAAAACGACATGAACACAGAAACACAACTTAGTGATAGAGAGCTCCAAGTCTGAAGGCAGACTACCAGAGAGGAACTCCACCACCCAATGCTGTGATTTCGGGCAAGTTCCTTAACCTCTCTGTGCCTGTTTCCGCTCCTGTAAGAGAAACGTCTACCTCCTGGGGTTATAAGGCTAATTTGCTGTTTGGACGGCTCTAAGAACAGCGCGTGACGTGTTGTGCCACATATGAGTGCCATATAAGGACTTGATAAAAATTCCACTGAAAAGTTTTCTTAGATTTAAACACAAGAGTGATAGTCATCCAGATTTTCATTTCAGTCTGAAGAAGCATATCGGAATCCCTAATATCTGCCAGAATAACCTCAAACTGACCCTAAGCACTAGTTATTTTGCTGCTCAAAAGGATTGTTCTCTTTCCTTTAATAGACGGGCATTTAGATAAACATTACTGCGGTTTTAGATATCAGAGCTAAGCCTTGCCTACTTTACGGAACACATACGAGAAAACGTTATGCTTACTGTACATTCATTAACAAATTTTCAGCGGTTGTTCTTGTTATGCACAAAGGTTTTTACTTCTCTAGAATGATGGGCTATTGGCTAGAGAAGGTCATTCCATATTTAACCTTGCTTTAGAAATTAGAATTTACCTCGGAATAGCATTTTGAATACAATACACCAAGCAGTTGGGTCCTTGGGGAAAGAATCTACTTTATTTATTATCAACAGTGTCTACTTCACTCGACAGAACACATTTGAAGAAGAGACCTGTGTGGTTCCTCGGTGGAAGCCAGGTCGCCCACGGCTGGAACGCCCTTAGCTCCTGTAATAAAGAGTGGACGCTTAGCGTGCTGATCCAAACTACCGTACCCCATTCTACCTAGCAGTCCAGGAGGTTTTTCAGGAGAACCCCCTTCCCGATCGGAGAGGACTTGGCGCCAGAGCCCGGCTCTAGCCAGTGTTCCCGCGGGCAGGTGTAGCTTTGGATGCGGGGCTGGGGAGGGGAAAAGGGCGGGCGTGGGGTTTAGCTGGGACTGGGGACTCGGACGGGCACTGGGCGTGGGCCTAACGACTCAGGGCCGGCCCGCCCCCGCTGCTCTATTGGCCGCGGCGGTGCAGAAAAGGCCCCGAAGCCCAGGGGTGTCCGCAGTGTCACTGGGCTGGCGGGGGCGCTGGCTGCGCGCTGGGCTGGGACTGGCCTGGGACTCCCGTGGCGGGCTCGGGCCCGAGGAACTCCCACAGCCCGCGGGGCATCGCCCTCGCTCGCTCCCCACCTCCTCCCCCCGCACCGGGGGAGGCGGCGTGTCTGGCCGAGGGTTGTGGGGCGCGGGGCAGGGCTGGAGCGCCATGAGCAGCCCGGATGCGGGGTACGCCAGTGACGACCAGAGCCAGAGCCGGAGCGCGCTGCCCGCGGTGATGGCCGGGCTGGGCCCCTGCCCGTGGGCCGAGTCGCTGAGTCCTCTCGGGGACATGAAGGTGAAGGGCGAGGCGGCGGCGAGCAGCGGGGCGCCGTCGGGGGCCGCGGGCCGGGGCAAGGGCGAGTCTCGGATTCGGCGGCCGATGAACGCCTTCATGGTGTGGGCGAAAGACGAGCGCAAGCGCCTGGCGCAGCAGAACCCGGACCTGCACAACGCCGAGCTGAGCAAGATGCTGGGTGAGTGCGGGCTCGGCCCCGGGGAGTGCGCGCCGCGCGCCCGCCGGCGTGAACCTAGACGGGTGCGCGCGGGGGCTGCTGCCGCCGCCACCCTCCTTCCTCCCGCGCTCCTGGCCCTCGAGGCTCTCCAAACGCGCTCTCAGCCTCGGCCCCCGGTGCCGGAATTACTTGGGTGGCGGGAGCGCGGGTTCAGGGGCTCCGGGGAGGCGGCTTCCCGTGCGTCCCGGGGGTGGCGAGGGCACCCCTGGGGTGGACTTAGGTTGGTCCTTTTCCGGGTAGGAGGCTTTTTCAGTTCTTCCAACGAGCGGCAGTGGATGAGCCGGGAAGCCGCTCCCAGGAGGCTCAAAGCGGGGAGCGATGCCCTTAGACGACCCTAGATCTCTCGCATCCCCCAAGCGCTCGGGTTCCACTCCGCCCCCGGAGTCCCATACTTTCGCTTTTTAACTCGACCCCTAAACCCCCCTCCCCAAGTTGCACTATTCAGGGTCGGAGGGGGAGAGGCGCGGGGCCGGGGAGCGGGAGCTCGGAGAGTAAGCCCCGCGCCCCTCTCCCCCTCCCCGCGACCGCGCAGGCAAGTCGTGGAAAGCGCTGACGCTGGCGGAGAAGCGGCCCTTCGTGGAGGAGGCGGAGCGGCTGCGCGTGCAGCACATGCAGGACCACCCCAACTACAAGTACCGGC